GTATCAGCGGATCCGAAGCAGCTGCCTCGGCGGCACTCCAGCTATCCACTGGCCAGCATCACCCCGGCGATGCGAAGAAGCGAGCTTGGGCAGATCGCAAGATCTACCACGTCTTCGAGCGACCCTTTTACTGTCTGCCCCGTTATCTGCCCCAAAACCCGCTCCAGCCAGACGGCGTGAACTTCAATCCCGCGCCGAACTTCCTCCCTTTGGACCTCCAGCTCTACAACATCAATCGTAGAGTCGATCGCCCCATCGCTGCGACCAGTGGACGCATGTCCCCCGCAAAGGCAAAAAAGGCCCACGACTTTATTCGCTCTCTTCTTGGTGGCGATCAGGAGGACCTTGGCCACCCAGAACTTGTCTGCTACCGCCGCATGGAGGAATTGCCTGCATTCACCGGCGTTTCGGACCTGTATTCCGAATTTGTTCGAAGCGGCATCATCATTCCAGTTCGGGGTCGCGTCACAGGCGTAGAGTCTTTTGCCCATGGCGAAACCTCGATCCGTGTCACCCAAAAAGGACTGTCGGCGACCATCACCGAGGACGACATGACACACTGGTGCAATCAAAGAGCTAAAGCAGAATCTGGAACCAACGGCACGTCAGTATTAGATGCTTCGAGAAATCCGCCCGAGAGTCGGACGGTAAGAGAACGGGCCACCACTCTAGGAGATGCCTTCATGACAGACGACGCTGAACCCTTCGGATGCGACAAACCGCCGAGCGTGAGGCACATTGCCGACGTTGCTGGAGTCATCGAAGCGACTGGCTTTCAACCCCACGTCAACTACCTATCCGAGGACGTTCGGCGTGCTCTTGGTCACGACCCCAAAAACAAAAGGATTCCGTTGCTCCTTTCGCACGGCTCGGTCTTCAACAAGAATATCCCCGAGCTCGCCTTCATTGGCTTTTACGAGGCCCCCTATTGGGGAGTAATGGAAGCTCAAGCCAACCTCCTGGCTTCTTCCTGGGATTCCGAATCACCCGAGATTTACGATCTCTATGACGTCAAAAAAGCTAGGGATACGCATCGGGCCATTGAGAAGCAAGATAGCGACATACCGCAGTCCTGGATGGGAGACTATGTTGGTCACATGGAGCAGATCTCCCGCATGGCGCACATCTTACACAACAACCTCGTGTTCACAGATCCCACTGGATACGTGTATCCAGCTCGTTATATCAACTCGTGGTGCGACCAGTCTGGGGCGGAACAGACCATACAATCAGTGATCAAGGCAGTGGATGCCGCCGAGAACAAAGCCGGCTTCGTGGCAGCCGCCGCTTTCCGCGCTCTGCAAGGACGCTGGAACCTGAGACGGATCAGTGCTCAACAACAGCTCGCGTACGAGGGCCACACGGCTACGTTCCATCCACGAATTCCACCACATCACACGCGCTACGTCGCGGAGCATCTCTATGTCGAGGTTGGTATGGCGAAGCGGCTGGAGGACTCACTCTCGGACCGTCACATTCTGCCTGTTAGACAACAGTGGGTGTTCCGTTATGACGAGTCTCAGGACACCATAAGCCTCTGGACCGTCAGTAAGGAAGACCAGAAGAGCGCGGCGGACCTTGTCGGTAACTTGGAGTTCGAGAAGTCCACAGCACCCGACAGAGGTTGGAAGGCCACGGTTTCTGGTCTGCTAGCGTCGAATTTAAACCATGACAAGGATCACAACAAGTTCGAGTTCGAGTTTCGATTCCGTGGATCTACGCTGGCAGAGTTCTCGGTACTGCGTGAGATCACTGTGATCGGAAAACACACTACGGCTCGTACATTGACGTATTATGCTAGGCCGGTTGATGGGGGCAGCGCAAGCGGGGTGTGGGATATGTAGTGCATTGCTAGTCGTCTGAGTTTGCAGACATCAACGGTCTCCAGTATATTCCATTCGTGTATACACTAAGGAAATAGTCCGACTGTGCGACACAGTCCATGAGTGTAGCTCTTATCCAAAAGGCATTCCCTAACCCTAGGGCCTTCGCTTCACTGTCTCCGAGTCAAACTCTCCTCTGCCGCCACCTCTTCCCTGTCCAACCTACGAAGTTGAACCCAGAGTTGCGGGGCCTGGTATCTGATTATCCTGGGGCTCTTGATTTTGTCATCTATGACTTCACGAGCGATTCACCGTACCTGCAGCCAAGGGCGTCTAGAAGTAGCTGCACTACCACCATCAAGCCAGAGGCGGACACACCATATCACATTCTAGAATAGCGTACCTGGAAATCCTTCGCACTCATATTCTTTGAGCTCATGAAGAGTAAGCACTACTACGTCGACTCCTGGTATAGTCGTCAAACGTCTCACAGTCACGCCAGGAGACTATGACTAATAGGCCCATGACGAGAATATGGTTTGATAGATAGAGGAGGGAAGGACCAAGACCGCAGGAATGTAATCACGTCGAAATCTTCCCGTGGAAAGTGTTGCTTGGTTTCGAAAATCAAAACCCAGGTTTCAGAGCGACGATGGCGTTGTCATGCGCATCGTGACCGAGTCACTGAGGTCGTAGACACGCCACGAAACGCCCTGCGTACTGGCGTCGGTCCCCCACGTCTCCATTTCGCCAAATGCATCTCCACGACTCCTGACCACGGTCTCTCTCGTACAGTATCGAATCGACTCCTCCTATTGATATATTGGATACTCCATCATAGATGTGTCGAACCAAGAGCGCTCTCCCCGTGAATCATGAAAGAACGGTCTCGGTAATGGCTCGCCTATGGTCCAAGCGTGTGGGATGTGTTAAGAAACGGCCTAGCGGCGTAAGGGTACGTTGACTTATTAAGACAGGGTGAATTCGATATCAATTGTTGACCATTATATGCATGTGAGCAAGGCGCCTCAACAGCTAGCATCACTGCGCCTAGAGCATCCCCATATCTCCTTACAGAAGCTCGATGACAAGGAGTCACCTATCGAAGGATCAGACAGCGTTGCGCAGACTACGCCCCAGTCCATGTCGCAAAATAGATTCAGGAAGCATATCGCCGCGAACACGTTCAGTTGTATCCATAGCCTTCTTGTTGCATCAAGGTTGACAGGGCAACTCCTGGGCGGATCCTCTTGCTGTTCGCACGGTTCTATTAGTTCTTGGGCCCTATAACGACCTCGGGGGTCGCAATGGAACGGTCGGGACATGCATTGGGAGTATACGACATTCCGGAAGAGTCGCAGGCGAAAATGGGCACACAGCCTATGTGGGGGCTTTGTTACATCCTTACCTAGCTACATGTAAAGATTTTAAAGATTTACCACGCTCTAATAGGCCGCAGCATAGTCTGTGAAGTACATGCTACTTCACTGATCTTGCGGCATGCCCGTTGCGCTGTTCGACCTATCTTGCAGAGATGCCCGCTTACCTCACTCAAGAGCCCCCCTCAATATGAATCAGGTTATATCGACAGCGCAGCTGTTGACCTCCGCTGCTGCGAAAGCTCCTACAAGCCTCGGCTCCTTCATTACCCGCCTGTAATGCTCTGGCTTTCCACGATCGCTTTGTTTACCTTTTCCTTCATAACACGCAACCAAATTCTCGCATTCAAATGCTACGACCTGCAATCACAACTTCATCTGATCTGCTCCGAGCTTGACAGTGAAGTTAAGATCTGGAATGAGCTCGTCAGGCTAGCGAACTACACCCTCCAAACAAATTCCGAGAACGCGAATACCATGAATCACACAAATTTCGGGATACGAGCGCTGTTAAAAAACAGCACACGTCCGAACCTGAGTTTGTAGCCATTGAGTATAGGTGTTGGACGGGACAGGCATGTGACAAGATGTCATGAAACCCAATGCGGGCAGGCAGAGTCAAGGGGTCTGTGTGCTGCACCCGCTGCAGGCGGTCAAATAAACTGTGTTGTTCGACACCTGGTGGAGGATTCTGATTTATGGGATGGCGATCATTGCAGCGTACTAGCTCATTGCACTTCTCATCGTCAGGCCTGTGAAGTGGGCACGGGGGGAAAGGTACAATTGACGAGGTTTGTCGAGTCTAGGTATGTTTGCATAACAATGCCCCTGGCAAGTGCGAGTCTGTTGTGGATATGCAGGACTGCAATGTATCGCGATGTCTTAGCAGCGTGCGAAGAGACACCATGAGACATACATGACTTAATGATTCAAGTACAAAGAAGCGCTTCGGCTGCTGGGGAAATGGTACTGCAATGAAATGCAATTTACTCCTGCCTGCGAATTACGAAAGAAGGTGTGGATGAGACAAACGTATATTTTCAATTACAGAAGGAAGTTTCGAAGTTTTCCCAAGCTCCTGCATCCTATGGTGTTTATCCTCCCGCCCTCAAATGTTCTATCTGCGATAATTTGACTTACGTGAAGGCTGCGCTCGCAAGGCAAGGACAGGGAAGGGGTCACAGTTCAATCAAAAACGAAATATCAGGCCGAGACCAGGATCATAATGTAGACCAGAAAAATACTTCTACTGCACGTTGTTCCGAGAGTCACCACTCGACACAGAAGGAATTAGAACCCACGAAAGGTATACTTGTGGAGTCATTCAAGATCAGACACCATAATGGGAGGAGCTAGCCCTTTCGTATTTCCAAAAGACCGCGTGTGGTTTGAGAGATTTTGACACAAGCATAATCCGAGTATGTCCGCCAGGTGTACATTCGACGGGTATAACCTAACGTCAATGATGGTGAGGGTTTTATGCATGCATGTCGTGGGATCTGTAAGACATTATCCGCAGGTATGCACTCTTCGTAGTAGTCTTCTGTTGCTCTTCGAGTTATCGTGCAACATGATGATCTGCTTCTCAGCCAACGTTCACTGAATTCTAACCGCTGAATCCTCTTTCACTTCCAGGAACCGCCTCGAGCCAAGCACGTCCCATTCGGCTTAGCGCTTTGAATTTCCTCATTCAAGCCATCGCACAGTTGATGAGAATGTTCTTATATTTGATTTGAGGCCCAATTGCCTAGAAAAAGCAAATAACAAGGTAGTCTTTTAATCAAATTTCATTCCTCTCGGGAGGTTGGTGTAATGGTAGCACGCGCTCCACTTGGATAGGGAGCGAAGCTTGCGGTTCGATTCCCAAGCCTTCCATGAATCGAGTTCTTTTTTCTTTTTGGTTTTCTTTTTTGTCGTTGACCAAACAAACACCAACATGTAGAGGACTGTCACACCTGTGCGCCCAATGCACTTTCGTAGCAAACAACCGAAGTGGGGTGTTTATCTTGAAGTGCTTGGACGCATGCAACATATGTCCAGCGACCATGGTTGTTCGTTGTGACACTATTGAAATGCTTTGTGATCTCGTTCAATACGAGGGGGGTCGTTTAGTTTATAGCTGGCCAAGCATAGCATCTTAGCAAATCTAGGGCAATTACTATTTCACATACAACCTCTCTAAGAACGAGCAAGAGCGGTACAGAATATGCGCGATCAGGCCCAGGTCAATGGAACGAGCTATGGGAAGACTACTGGTCGGCTGTGGGGGGAAAATGGGAGCATGAGATTCATTCTCACTTGTGTCAATGTGGCATGGAAGCTCATGGAGTGATTCCCAAGGAAATAGATGCTGGCCAATCCTGGCATTTTCCACAAAAGATCGTGTTGTTTGATAAATCCACGAAGGAGAGTAGTAACAAGAAGTAATATATATACAGTGATCCAACCGTCCATCTAACGTCTACATGTCTCCAGCCAATGGTTATATCACACGCTGTTCAGTCCTCATGAGCACTGCGTTGACTGTCTTTAGGCTTCGCTCAAGCGCCATATGTCGAGTTGATGGCACCAATCTTGATGTTGCCATACGTAACGCTGGACGAGGCAGCGGAAGTCTCGATTTCGCTCGGGACACCAGAAGATGTCTCGCAAGTACCGCGAGCTGCACCCGGGGTAGTGGCGTCCTTGTCAGTGGGGTAGGTAGAGTCAAGCCAGAGCATATTAACAGCATGGTCATCCCAGACTGAAAGTGCGAGGACCATACCACGGCTAAGGGATCCACCCATGGAGGCCAGGCCACCAAGCTTCTCAAAGGAGTTTGTATCGCCAAAAGCAGTCTTTTGCTCGTTGCACCAGGCGTCGGTAATAGAGTTGGAATCGGTGACACCCGACACCTTGGAGACGCTGTTCTGAATGACCTTTCCGCCCTGGACGTAGATACGGCGGATCTCAGAGAGGGTGCCACTGTCGGTGCCGTCGTTGGTAATGAACTGAGTGACAACGGTGAACTTGCTGCTGGTGTCGACGGTTTTGCCCTTTCCATAGAAAGATTGATCACCCATTCGGTAGCTGTTAAAGTCGCAGCCGTCCTTGTCACAAACGCCGCTGTAACGCTCGTCGCCATCACCGCAATCTGTGCCGGAGCAGCGCGTCTGGCCCTCGACGCTGCATACGTGCGGCGTGAGGGCAGCTGAGACGACGTTGGCCTCCCAGAGATCCATTTCGTTGCAGCAAGTTCCGTATTTGCCAGAGCCGGCATTGGCATCGTTGCTCGAGGGAGTCCAATCCTCGACGTTAGCCTGCGCGAGGTTAACATCAACTAGTCGAGGGGGGAGGGGGGCAATGGCGACATGGGAAATACCCTGGTGCACCAAGCCGGCAGATGATTATAACATACCTCACCGTCGATGAATTTGATGTCGTGCGGGCATTGGGTGTCACAGTATCCTGTACCGTATTTTGCACCTGCCTTGTTCGTGGAATATTTGGCCATTCCACCATCCTCGTCCATCTCGACAAGGTAGAGGGCACCGTTGAGACCGCAGGGCAGGTTGGAGACGTCGACGTCAAAGGTGAACTCCTTGTTCAAGAGCTTAAACATGTAGTACTTGGACTCGGACGCCATTAAGTACAGACGGGAACCAATGTTAGTCGAGTAGCTGCCCTCGGTTACAAACTTCAGCGTCAAGTCCCCGCTGCTTGCCGTGACGCCGTATGTTCCGGAGTAGTCGGCACCGTCAAGCGCGCAGTTGGCAGCGCACGTGGCTCCATCGGCACAGATAGTGGTATTCCACTCGTTGCCGGTGTAACAGTTGGTGTAGCCCTCCGTGGTATGCAGCCAGCGCCAGTTGGCGTCCATGGTGACGGTAGTCGAGACCGATGTACAAGATCCGGCAGCAGAGCACGACTGAATGGGCATCGAGGGGTGCGTTTCGGAGGTCAAAGTGCCAACTTGTTGCGCCGAAGCGCCGGCAGCAAGGAGCGAGAGGAGAGAGGTCTTGGAAAACATTGCGACGGCTGGAATGGCTTTTGATGGACCGAGACCGTAGGAAGGAGTGTCGATGGCTGGGTAAGGAAGAAGCAGGAAACGAGACACTTTCGTTCTTATGTACCTCCACAATGCCCTGTATCGTGGTGCATCGATGACATTGTAGGCTCTATACCCGTCCGTGCTAGTCGATCATTGTCGTGCGAGGTAAAGTGGACAATTAGATTTGCGGAGCTTCCTTCCGCGGGCTTCTAGCAGCAACGAGCTGGTCGATTCTGTTCGTGGGTACTGTGACCTCGGTTTATCGCCCTGGTCACTGGCTCATGTTTAATCTATCCAAACCAGGGAGTATTTGCTTTAGCTTGCTGTCCTGCCGTGATAAATGACCGAAGGGGCAACGTCGGAGCGGTGAGCCGTACCGGCTTCTTGAGACTCGGGCCATATGCAGAAGGCGAGCAATAGGTCTGGAGATGATAGTGTACATGGCCGGTGCGAAGAAGCCTTCTTCTCTCGGGATAGACGTGGTCGTGGCGTTGTTTCCGGTTGCTTTATATTAATCCGCGACCCATTAACTGGTGGATATCCGAGAGACATCCAGGGCATCTGCGGGGTATACAAGTGTGCCCAAGATGGGGAATCCGCATATAATGTGCAACGTGATATAGAGAGCGAGTTGACGAGAGCGAAACGCTGGACAGTTGGGGAACGACGAGCTCACGGTCCTGCTGCCAAATATATCGTTGTGTGCGCGGACTTGCAGGCCTAGGGAGGCCATGATCGGGGACTTGCATCAGAGTCCTGGCCGAGTTTACATCGTGGAGCGGAAGAGGAGATGGACCCCGGTGGTTAAGTCAAGCTCGCAGGTGGTGAACCGTGGTCCCACACGCGGAATCAGATGCGGTTAGGGTTGAAGCCAGCGGACCAAAGCCATTGCGCGCTAGCGGTTTCGACTGCACGACTCCATATCCTGTCGGCAGAGGACGAGAAGAAAGCGATCGGATGACGCTTTTCAATCTACCCAGATGCCGTGCGTCGCATGTCGGGCTGGGTTGATGACGCGGCGCGGTATCGCGGGGCATACCGCGGGATAGGGACAAGGCGATATTGCGAGAGGCGGAGACATCTGGTAACGAACCTTGGCTGTGTTCGAAGCCCGGTACGCTCTCGCCATGCTTTGCTAGACCTGGGTTTGTGGAGGTCCGATTCATTTCGCCATATTAAGGAGTGGGACGTGGGATGCCTGCTGATATTAACCGTCCACCAAGGCCCGCCACGCCGCCTCATGTCGCTACCACCGCCATCAACGTCCCCCGTGTAGGTTCCTGCACCTGAGAGGGTTCTCTATGGTGTACTCCCTTGTCGCGCAATTGCGTACTGACTGGAGGCTCCAGGTGTCATCGTCTACTGGCACCGCATAGGTATCCAAATCGCTGGTCCATCTGATGGGGCGCTCTCTGCCGTTACTGCACTCCAGCAATGGCGACCCCATTGCCATGGAAAGAGGTTGATCGACGTCTTTTCTTGTGCAGGTAGAAATTGGATGCGGCCCTACTCTCTCTCAGGCGCCTGAGCCTATCCTAGGTACATACCTGCCTCCCTCAAGCTTGTAGATGCCCTCCAAAACTTTCGACCGCCACCCGGCATATGTCTATGTACAGTAACGGAGACCTCTGTACACCACTAACGCAAACCCCTGCAAGTTCTCGCTGCCAGGCGATGCTAATATTGTTCGCAGCCGAAGCCGAGCTCAATACGAGACGGTCAGGTGTACTGTGAGCCGGCAGTCATCAATCTGATTCCTCCCAGTTTTACTTCAAAGCGCACTCCTCTCGCCGTCACGTTTATTTCGACTTCATGCGGACGGCCCTCAAAGGCCGCGCGTTGCAAAAAGGATTGGAGCTCAGCATGGGCGCGTCTCTTCACAGCGCTGTAGTGGCATAACAGAGCCTCCAGACCGTCTTGCGCTTGGAGGCCAGCAAACGCATCTCTCGAAGCTTCCCCGAGATATCCTCAACGAGAAGATAATGTGAGCTTCCGAAGAGACGCTTCACACGGCTACTTCCATGTGCCGCTTTATATTCCCATCACCGACCAGCATGGCAGAGTATCTTTTGACACCCCCATCTCATGGAGGGTTGATTTTTCCATACTGTGAATCTGTTCCAGACTCGACTACTATCTCGACGCGCTATGCAGCGGTACCGGCCATGATTGCAGTGTTCGAGGGAATGGTCATCGTCCAACCAACAGCCACCTGTTGGGAACTCCTCACGGATACTCTGGTAACGCCAGACATTCCAGACATTCAACCATCGGCATCGGATTGAAATTACAGGGCAGCCTAGATTGGCGATGCGGGTCCGACAATCGCCATCCTTTCCGCGGTTGCAGCGCACAACGAAGGATCCAAAAGTAGAGTTGCATTCTTTCCTGCAGGAAGTCAGCAATCTGGCCGTCATACTGACCGCGCGACAACGGATCATTGCAGAAGTGTAGTTGATAACAGTACCGCCGTTTTAACAAGGACTCAACGGCTAAGACACGCAATCACGGAGACCACTGCTGCGACCATTTTCCGGCCTCTATGAGTACGAGCTCGGAGGATCCTGCTGCTGGATTTGATGTATCAGCTGCAAGAATTAGAAGTAGTTAGGCCGGGTCCAAGTCTTCTGGTCGTGTGCGTGGTTACGGTGGGTTCGGGGCTTCTGAGCCAGTTGTATTGTCTCGTGTTGCATTTGAGGGTTCATACATGGAGTCTAAGGGTTTAGGCTAAGATGCACGCCAGAGAAAAGCCTTGAGGCATGTATTACACCGAAAGGTGTGCAGGAGTTGACCAAATACTTGCATTACAAGGCTGTTCTGATACGATATAGCTGCTCTGACGTGG